CATTGGACCTCATGCTTGCTGGGCCGCAGGTCGACCCCGCCTTCGAGTGCAACAGGAGCCCGATCTTCCTCTGGCTGCAGGCGCTGTGGGACGGATGGGCCCCCAGAGCAGATATGGCGCGACTTCTGAGTGGAGCATGGGCACGCCTGTCTAGTGTTCCTGTGTCTCAAGTTTGGTCTGACATTCGCGGACCTGCTTCTGCGCTAGTTGCGACACTTTTGCGGTTGGGTTGGTCTGTATCTGACCCTTTTCATTGGAAGACCCACCGAGGTCCTCTCGCAATTGAACAGATTTCCCCGAAGGATGGAGGTAGGTTAGTTGATGAGGCCACCGAGCGGTGGGTGTGGCGACAGGTTCTCGCGAAGCATCCCTCGTGGGTCTCGCCCTGCCCTCATCCTCCTCTCGTGGAGCCCCTGAGGTCCCTCCTCCAGCCTCATTCTATCCGAGGCCCTGACTGGACCCCAAGGCATCAGGGTCTTCTGCGGTGCCTTTTTGCAGGAGGGTTCTGGTCGCAGGAGCGACTGTACGAGTCAGGTGGAGCCGTCAACCCGAGCTGCCTTGCCTGTCAGAGTGCTGGATCTACCTGGCACCGATTCTACGATTGCCCCCTGCATACTGAGTTTCGTCGGGATTACAGAGCTGGCAGTGCCATGGCTGGTCAAATGCTTGACATGGCTCGTGCTGCTGCGGTGGATACCTTGCTTTTCACGCGCTTTCTTGTCCCTGACCCTGCTTGGCTCTTCCCGAGCCCCTGCCTCGAGGAGCGAGTCGTGTGGACGGTGCGGTCTCCCGACTTGCTGCTCGATATGCACGTGTTCGGTGATGGGTCGGGGAGGCACGGACGTTTCTCTCGCTTACGGCGCTGCGGATGGGGACTCTGTTCGCTTGACGACAGCAAGCGAGTGGTTGCTCGCCTCCATGGCCCTCTGCCCTGTCTCATTCAATCTGTGCCAGCGGCTGAGCTTTTCAGTTTCTTGATGGCGCTGCGCTATATGGGAGCTCAGATGAAGTTTTATACGGATTGCAAGCCACTCGTGGATGTCTGGCGCCAAGGTGTTGGAGCAGGCACCGCTGCGAGTGACCCGCTTGCCTTACTATGGAGGGAGGTTTGGAGGCTTGTGTCTGACCGTGGGGGTGAGTCGGTGGAGGTTTCTCACGTCAAAGCACATACTCCTGCCTCTGCCGTAGCGGAGGGACGGATTTCAGAATGGCAGAGGGTCGGCAATGCCCAAGCTGATCAGTCGGCTAAATGGGGTGCCGCCATGCATAGAGATTCCCTCCAGCTGCGTTCTGCGCATGGCGCGTCGCGCAGCGCCATCCGCCTAGTTGCTCAGTTCTGTACCAGGCTGGTCGCTCGGATCGGCACGATCACGCCACGGGACGCTCGAGCGCAAATACTCGGCCGTGCCATAGGCACGATTGAGGGGGGACTCGGTCCCCCGAAGCCGCACTCGCGCTTCGACCCTGCAGTGACGGTGGTTGCGCAAAGGTTCCGATGCATGGTGTGCCTTCGGTCAGCGAGGACACGCTCGGTGCTTCGCCAGCTTCGTTGTGACGACAGGACCAGCTCCCACGCACTTCACCGCGCGGGGCCCTTCCTGTTCTGCTCTCTGTGCGGGGCTTTTTCGGAAAAGAAGAGCCAGGGTCTTTCGCAGGATTGCTTGCCGATGAATCGTAGGCAGGGTGTCCTCGTGAGAGACTCGAGGTACTACAGGCTGCGCAACCTCATGCGAGGCTGCCATCCGCTTCGGTCCCGCGAGTTCGTGGGCCCTCCGATTTTGCTGCGGAAGCGCAGGCTGCTCGAGTCGGCCGAACTGCCGCCTCTGCCTGCTCTCTCTCCTTCGGTCGGGTCTGGGAGTGGGGGGGTGGGGGTGGGGTGGACGGGGCAGGTGTGCTCGCCGCCGCCCGCTTTCCAGGCCGATCTGGCCTTGTGGGACGGCCTTGCTGGCTTTCCCATTGCCAGCGTAGAGGAGGACGACGGCGACCCATCCCACGGTGCGTGGGATCGGGTCGAATGCGTCCCCTGCGCTGGCTAGAGGTTTTTCAAACGAAGGCTGGTTCGCTTGCGGTCAGTCTCTATCAGCAAAAGAGGGGGGGGGTCTCATTTCGGGGAGGGTCTCTTCCAGGCTATCTTGGAGGGCCTGGGGGGGTCTGGGGACGATGTTTTGGAGGGTTCTCCCATGGGGGGGGTGGGTCTGAAGTGGCTTGTCTTGGAGGGTCCAGACCCCCTCCCTTTTATTACGAAATCTGGAGTACGCATTGACGCCCCCATGCAGCCAACTCCTGATGAGCCCTCACGTTGTCGGAGACCAGCGCTCCCGGCAACCAAGTGCTCCCGAAGAGAAGACAACTGTTGAGCAATGGCCCGTCGGCGACGGCGCCTGTCATCCTCGGCCTTCAAGCGTGGGCAGCGGGAGTGCGAACGGGGGCGACCTTCGGGGGCAGGCGCGGGGCAGAAGGAGACCGAGAAAAAACGACGGGACTGCGCGGCTGCAGAGCAGTTGGCAGCGAGCACCTGAGAAGAAGCGCCAACCCGCTCAGCCATCGAAGCGTCGGCGCATGCCTCAAGAGCGTGGCGCCTGGCAGCCCACTCCGTCGAAGAACGCGTGTGCGTCTGGGGAGGCGGCTGGGGGCGACCCGCGGGGACAGGCGCGGGAACGGACACGGCCATCGAACGCGGGCGAACGGAAGCATTTTCTGCAATTCCGCAATAATGAGGACAAGCGCGAGCATCTGTTCAGCCGACGCTGCTGTCCCTCATCTGGAAGTCGGAAGCGGGACTCCGACGGCCTTGACAGGAAAACCAGAAGAGGCATCTCCGAACACCCCAGGAGGAGGAGGAGGAGGAGGAGGAGGAGGAGGAGGAGGAGAAGGAGGTGGAACCGCGCGAGAGGCAAGATCTCCAGGTCAGGTCGGTCGCTGGGCCTGCTCCTGAAACCGCTGTTGCGCGTCACGGGGCCATGCTTTGGACGAGACTGGACTCTCCGGCGGGAGCGGGGTATCTGGGCCTCCTGGATGGGGTCGGAGTGGTTGGGGTCGGAGGATCGTGCCGCATCGCCGATGCATCGGCGATGCATCGGCGATGCGGTTGGATGTGGGGCTCGACTTTTCCCACGCAGACGCGTCGCCACCGCATCGCCGACGTCGATGCATCGGCGATGCGGCGTGAGCCTCCTACCCCATCTACTCGAACCCCAGCAGAGAGGCCTCCAGGGTAGCACCAAGATGCCTGGACGGCAGAGGTGGATCAGGCACAGTGGAAACCCATGTCAAGAAACACCATGCTTGCCTCCAGGGTCCCCTGGGTTCCCTGGGTTTCGATGGTTTTGCTATGGAGGGCGCTTGACGTTCCCGCAACAAAAGCCAATGGACGTCCTGGGGTCTCAGGGTTTGGGGTTTCTTGTGGAAGGTCTCTTGCCTACTGTACAGAAGCACAAGGCGCTGCTGCGGAGCCTCCAGTAATGATGATGTTGATGCTGATTCTGATGCTGCTGATGATGATGATGCTGCTGCTGCTGATGATGATGATGATGCTAATGATGGTGACGATGATGGTGATGCTGATGATGATGATGATGATGATGCTGATGATGATGATGATGATGATGATGATGATGATGATGGTGATGGTGATGGTGATGGTGATGATGATGATGCTGACGATGATGATGGTGAAGATGATGCTGCTGCTGTTGCTGATGCTGATGCTGATGCTGATGATGATGATGTTGATGATGATGATGATGATGATGATGATGATGATGATGATGATGATGATGATGATGTCTCGTTGCGCACAACAGCACAGGGCGCTGCGGCGGAGCTTCAGGGGAGGAGCGGGCGCGCGTGCGGCGGGTGGCGAGGAGGCCCCCCGGAAGCAGGCGAGGAGAGCCGTGGGCGGCGCTGCGGCGGCGCTGCGGCGGGCAAGCCTCGGGCGGCGAGGAGGCGGCGAGGCGGAGGCGGGCTGTTGCATCTCTCTTCTTCGGAGGGCACCAACTACACACCAACACCGATCCTGGCCCAGGATCGCCCTGGGCCCAGGATCGGTGTATATGCCTTCTTGCGCAAGGCAGGAGGGCGTACACACCGATCCTGGGCCCAGGGTGATCCTGGGCCAGGATCGGTGTTGGTGTATAGTTGGTGCCTTCCTATCCTCTTGGGCCTCCCGGATGGGGTCTGGGTCGACTGGGTCGAAGGGCCGTGTCGCGTCGCCAGGGCAGCGCCGATGCCTCGCCGGTGCATCGGCGACGTCTGCCGATGCATCGGCGACGGCGCCGTGGAGGACGTCGGGCTCCACATCGAGCCGCACCGCCTCCAGGGCGCGGTCGCTCGTCAGCGAGCGGCACGCGAGCGCGGCACACCGGGCCCGTGCCGAGCAAGAGAGCGCCTGCGCGGGAGGGGGCAGCACGGCCGCGGCCACGGCTCGGGCGCGAGGGGGAGAGGAGGGAGGAGAGGAGGGGAGGAGGAGCAGCAGCAGCAGGAGGCGCTGGAGTGGGCGACGACTTCGCCTCCCCCACCATCACCATCATCATCATCATCATCAGCAGCAGCAGCATCATCATCATCACCATCATCATCAGCATCAGCATCAGCATCAGCATCCGCATCAGCATCCGCATCAGCATCACCATCATCATCAGCAGCAGCATCATCACATCCTCATCCTCATCCTCGTCCTCGTCCTGATCCTCATCAGCATCATCAGCATCATCAGCATCATCATCATCACCTTCATATTCATCATCACCATCATTATCATCAGCATCACCATCATCATCATCACCATCATCACCACACCATCATTATCACCATGATCAGCATCATCATAACCAGCATCAGCATCATCATCAGCATCATCGTTAGTACAGTCATCATTATCATCATCACCACCACCATCACTATCATCATCACCATCATCATTAGCACCATCAATCACCACCACCACCACCATCATCATCACCACCACCATCCTAATCACCCCCTCCCTCGCGAGTGGCCAGGAGCCCCCCGCGGCGCGCCCCATGCACGAGGAGCAGCTCCCCGCCGAGCTCTGCGCCGCCCTGCGCTCCGCCGCCGCCCTGGAAGGCTCGGCGGCGGGCCCCGCCACGCCCAGGGGCGCCTCCCCCAATCGTGCTCACGCTGTGACGCGATCACGACGGGGGCCCTTGCTGGGGGGGGGCCTCTTCCTCCTCCTCCTCCTCCTCCTCCTCCTCCTCCTCCTCCTCCTCCCTCCTCCTCCTCGCCCCTCCCTCCTCCTCCTCCTCCTCCTCCTCCTCCTCCTCTCTCCTCCTCCTCCTCCTCCTCCTCCTCCTCCTCCTCCCCTCCTCCTCCTCCCCCTTCTCCTCCTCCTCCCTCCTCCCTCCTCCTCCTCCTCGTCCTCCTCCTCCACCTCCTCCATTCCTCGTCCTCGTAAATAACTTCTCCCTGTCGCACCCCGAGGCCAGTCTTTAGGGCGGCCGGGCATTGCGCCTGAGACTTCCTGACCGTTTGTGGGGTTAAAGTTTTTATTTTTCATAATAATACCAGGTTCACAAATGGAGGACCGCTGGTTTTCAAGATGTGGTTCTCGCCGTTGCGCCGCGCATACTAGTTCAAATCATTTGCCAGAGTTTCACGGATGGGCGGCGGGTTGTTTTCAAAATGTGGTTCTCGCCGTTGCGCCGCGCACATTCGTGTAAACCATTTTCAAGAGTTTCACGGATTGGGGGCGGCTCCTTTTCAACATGTGGTTCTCGCCTGAGCGCCGCGCACATACGTTTTAAAAGTTTGCACGAGTTTCACGGATTGGGGGCGGGTAGTTTTCAAATTGTGGTTCTCGCTTTAGCGCCGCGCTCATTCGTTTAAACCATCTGCAAGAGTTTCATTGATTTAGGGCGGGTCGTTTTCAAGATGTGGCTCTCGCCCCCGCGCCGCGCACATTCGTTCTAAACATGTGCCAGAGTTTCACGGATTGAGGGCGGGTCGTTTTCAAAATGTGGTTCTCGCCCTAGCGCCGCGCAGATTCGTTTTAAACATTTACAAGAGTTCCACGGATTCCCATGATCAGCGTACCAGAAATGGTGTTTTGGAAGGATTCAGGACTATGCCGTTGCAGCAGTTCTGTTGGTTCTCGGTGTTGAAGTCCCAGAAATGGCGTTCTGGCACGATTCCAGATTGTCAGGACGCAGCAGTCAGGTTGATCCGTGGCGTGGAAATCCTGAGAACAATGTTTTGGCATGCTTCAAGGTTGGTTGTCTTCCATCGAGGCAGCTCCCTCATTGGAAATGAACCGTTGTAGTGGCCTATGAAGAGGGAGCTGGAAGGGAGGTTAATTCCAGCATCGTTGATGACTCATGGATTTACACTGTGGTCCTACTCCTCCTCCTCCTTCTCCTCCTCCTGACGCGATCACGACGGGAGGTTGTTGGCCATTTTCGGCCTCCTGGGGGGGGCCCTGCCAGGCCCTGGGACCGTCAAAGAACGACATCGGGATGAAGAGCCGGCCCTTGGGAAAAGGTCGGGGCTTCCGGGGACCGCAGATTGAAGCAATCGAGACATCGTGCGTCTGGGCCAAAGAGGGTGGGGCGAGGGCAATCGGGGAGGAGATATCGTGGCCGGGGCCATGCCGTCTTCTGGTTTTAGTGCCCTTTTCATCTTTCAGCACGCCCCCTGCCCCCCCCACCCCTCGTCCGCGCACATGCTTCGGCCCATGATGCGCGACCTCTGCGGCGCACCCGATCTTCCTGTGCCCTCGATGCTTGCACCCTCGTGCCGTGACGAAAACCACGACGGGAGGACTGCGGGCGTTTTCTGGTCTCCGCATCCTCGATGCACTGGCGATGCCGCTCGATGTGAAGCCTGCCCGAAGAAAGAACGATGAGGAAAAGGAGGCGGAGGAGGAGGAGGAGGAGGAGGAGGAGGAGGAGGAGGGAGGAGGGAGGAGGGAGGAGCGAAGAGGGAAGAGGGTAGAGGGAGGAGGAGGAGGAGGAGGAGGAGGAGGAGGAGGAGGAGGAGGAGGAGGAGGAGGAGGAGGAGGAGGGTAATGAGGGTGATGACTATGCGGCAGGGCGAGGTCCGCCCTCCCCTCGCTCGGCCGAGCGCTCTCGCGACTTCCGCCGCGTGCGGGCCCCTCACGGCCGCCGGCTCCTGGCGACTCAGGAGCCACCTGACGACGGTTCTTGACTCTGGACGCCCGAAATGGGTACGGCAAGAATGGGTACAATGCCCAACAGCAGTTCCTGTTCATTTTGAACAGGATTCGCTGTCCGCGCCGCCGCGGCCCGTGTCCATTTGAGACAGAGGGCCGCCTGCCCAACAGCGGCCGCTGTTGGTTTGGAACAACATTTGCTGCTGGGCATTGCACTCCTTTTTTCGGCACCCATTTCGGGCGTCCAAATTGACTCGCGACCTTCCTGAACGTCTTGTGGACCCAGTTGCGGAGGGAAGCTCCGCGCACCCCGAGCTCCTTGCCGACCTTTGTCGAGCTCCGTATCCGAGAGCAGCCGGAGGAAGCTCAGGGCATCCGCGCAGCTTTGAGGCTCCGCCCCACCAGCTGCGCGCTCCGAGCAGCAATCCCCTACAACGCCGCAACGGCCCGCCCGCCGCCTCGGGGTGTCCCCGCGCCACCGCCGTCCCCGATCGTGTCGAGGATGGTATCCGTCATCAGCCTCCCCTCCGCCTCCCTGTGGTGCCTGGCTGCCTCGACCTTCGTGAACGCTTCAAGATTCTGCTCCCACAAACTTCGCGGAGGCCCCGTCGAACGAGTGGCCTCCTGTGCTCCCTTCCCCGTCCAGCGTCGGGAACCTCGGGATCGGGCCCAACTTCCCTGCGCCCACGCCTCCATGATCACTGTCGTTCCAGGACTCGTCCGCGTCGCACGCATCCTCGATGTAGTAATGCTCCACCTTGCCACGCCCCACAATGGCCCCGTCGCCGCCTTTGCCGTTCTCCGCCGTATCCCCTCTCGGGGCGAAGTGGATGTCCTGCTTGATGCCGCTCTCGCTCAGTCTACCAACCGCGGAGTGTGACTCCGATGTCTCCTCATGTTCTTCCCTTCTTTTCCTTCCTCCTTCTTGCTCGCCTTCTCCTGGGTGCTGGTGGCCTCGATCAGCAGCGGCCGATCCCCGATCCACTGCTGCGGCAGGCCCCCCTTTGCCTCCTCCTCCTCCTTCGGCGTGAGCATCGCCTTGATGTGCCACAACCCTTTCGGCGGAGATGGCGGCTCGCTCTTGGTCGCCGCGCGGAGGCCGATCTCGTCCGTCTCCTGCAACCGGTCCGCGATGGCCAGGAGACTCTGCGGCTGCGGCGCCATCGAAGGACGTGGTGCCACTGGTGTTGCAGACGGCCGCGGGCGCGCCCTGCCTGGGCTGACTGCGACCGCCTGCACTGCCGCCGAGACCGCCGCATGGACCGCAGCCTGCACTACGTCCGCAACTCGGTCTCCTCCAAGAGCACGGCTGGGCGCCCTCGGTGTCACTGGCGTCTGCCTCCAGGGAGCCGAATCCGCCTCCTCGCTTGTAGCCCACGCCCGCCATGTCATGAATAACTGCTGGCTCGGGAGGGCTGCGCCCCTTCGAATCGCGCCCCCCTCGACCCACCTCGAGCGAAAGGGCTAGGAGGAGGAGGAGGCGGAAGAGGAGGAGGAGGGAGGAGGAGGAGGAGGAGGAGGAGGAGGAGGAGGAGGAGGAGGAGGAGGAGGAGGAGGAGAGGAGGAGGGGAGGAGGGGGAGGAGGGAGGAGGAGGAGGAGGAGGAGGAGGAGGAGGAGGAGGAGGAGGAGGCGGAGGCGGAGGCGGAGGCGGGGGCGGGGACCTGTTCGACAGAGGCACGGCTGACCTCAGACGGGCCCCCCGAGCAGCCTGGGCCTGCGGAGGCCGGGGGCCTTCTGGCTGCGCGCAGCTCGAAGCCTTACCGGCCCGACGCCCCTCCCCGCAGGCGACAGCTGGGGCATCCGCTTCGCCCGCTCGCGGGCTTCGCTCATGCTTGCCGTCCTGGAGATTGCCCGCGGAGCGCTCGGCCCCGCCGCCGCCGCCTCAGCAGCAGGGCGGCGGGCGAGGCGCGGCCAGCGGAGCCCAGGCTTTGAGGGATGGGGGGGAGGAGGAGGAGGAGGAGGAGGAGGAGGAGGAGGAGGAGGAGGAGGAGGAGGAGGAGGAGGAGGAGGAGGCGGAGGCGGAGGCGGAGGCGGAGGAGGAGGAGGAGGAGGAGGAGGAGCAGGAGGAGGAGAAGGAGAAGGAAAAGGAGAAGGAGGAGGTGGAGGAGGAGGACGATGTGGAGGAGGAGGATGAGGAGGCGAATGCACCGCCACCACCAGAGGAGGCCACTGCCATCGATTGTGGCCACGAGGCCTTCCCGAGCTCTGGGAGCTGGCTGGGGTGCCACCTTTTTGGTGCGTTGTTAATGTATTTTTCAATTTTTCGTCGAAAATCCCCCTGTAGGGGGACAGGCCCGACTTTACCCTGGCGTTGCCTGGCGTCGAGGGGTCTCGGAAATTGGAGCAAATACATCGCCAGGGGCGGGTTGTTCCCTACCTAGGCTCTGCCTAGAAGGGTTCTTACCCTGTATCTTAAAGGGACCGGGCAGTGGGAACCGGCCCGGGCGGTTCCCCCGGCATCCGCCCCGCGGTTCCCCCAGCTACGTCCCCTTAGCTTAGCGTTGCTTATATCATCTTAGCTTAGCTTATGTCATCTTAGATTAGCTTAGCTCCATCTTAGCTCAGGTTTATCTTAGCTTAGCTTACCTTCATGATTACTACTGTTGCAATATTCGGTTGATGCTTATTAGTTGTGTTACGAGACGTAATATTAGCAGGATTAGTAGTAGTAATAAACGAAATAGCATTACTATCATCATCATCATCATCATCATCATCATCATCATCATCATCATCATCATCATCATCATCATCGTCAGCATCATAAGTATTATTAGTAGCGCTGTGATTATTCGTATGTTTACTAGTGCTGTTATTTCTGCGAGTATGCTTATCATTATTCCCTATCTAGGCTCTGCCTAGAAGGGTTCTTACTTTATAGCTTAAACGGGCCGGGCAGTGGACCCCGCACCAGGCGGTTCCCCCGGCATCCGCCCCGCGGTTCCCCCAGTTGTGCCCCCTGGGTTCACCCAGCTTAGCTGAGCTAAGCTTAGCTTAGCTTAGCTTATCTCATCTTAG